TTAGACATGTAGGTCTTCATCTGAAATGATGGATCCCCCTTTTAGACTTAGTTTATCTAGCAATATCATATTTGCAGAGGATTTTCATGTCGTTCTTCTCACAGATTCCTCTGCATTTTCTCTCCTGTTCAGTGCTACGCTCAGTAATTTTCAGTTATTGCTGGGCACACAGATACTCTCACTACTTCTGACATCTGACAAAAGGCAAGTCTAAGGAAGAAGCAAAATTTCTGAGAAGATGCTGTACCAATCTTGCAGGTAAAACAGCTCACCACTCCTTGTGTATCCAATCAATCCTATATCATTATATACAAAGTATACCTGTTCTGTTACGGAGAATGGAATATCAGTGTGTGTCAGAGGGGAATTGTTATTGGCTTTGGCCATCATTATCAACAAGGCAGTGTCTCACTTAAAGGATATTCACTACGTTGGTGGTATAACAGACAGGCATAAATCTGCATCCAGAGCCAAAATACAATAGTGAGAAAGTGGCTGAAGCCACAGGCAGTTCCTCCTTCTCATTTCTTCCCTCATTAAAAGAACTGTCTGAGAAAAAAATGTCAACCTCAAGAGCACTACCCAAAAGCCTTCCTCAACAAATGCATATCAAGAATATTCTTTACAAGTTAGAAATGTATGCATGCCCTGGTTTTATTCCAATACGACATCAATTAAAATGATCACAAATGATATTATCTTATAGAGGAAAGGTAGCCATCGTGATGCCTGTAGGGCTCATCACTAACTTGGCATTTATCAGCATTAATTTTAGTGCTCATACCTGTGCTATGTCTTGAAAGAAAACTGTTCATCAATACTAGCAGATTTCTGTGCTGACAGCACTTAGTAATTGTCCTGGTTTCAGTTAGAACAGAGTTAATTTTCTTCCTAGTAGCTGGTAGGGTGCTATGTTTTTGCTTAGGATGAGAAGAGTGCTGATAACACGCCGATGTTTTAATTGTTGCAGAGCAGTGCTTATACCAAGCCAAGGACGTCTCAGCTTCTTGCTCTGTCCTGCCAACAGGCAGGCTGGGGGTGCAGAAAGAGCTGGGAGGGGACAGACCCAGGACAGGTGACCTAAACTAGCCAAAGGGGTATTCCATACCATCTGACGTCATGCTAAACAATATATAGGGGTGGCTAGCCGGGGGAGGGGGCCGGACTGCTTGGGGTTAGGCTGGGCATCGGTCAGCGGATGGTGAGCAGTTGCATTGTGCATCACTTGTTTGTACACATTATTAGTAGTAGTACTATTATCATCATTGTACTATTATTATTATTGTTATTTTTGTTATTATTATTTTCCTGTCTTATTAAACTGTCTTTATCTCAACTCACGGGCTTCACTTTACATTTCTCTCCCCCATCCCAGAGAGGGAGGGGGGAGGGTGAGCGAATGGCTGTGTGGTGTTTAGCTGCCAGCCGGGTTAAACCACGACAGTAATACAGAGTTCACACTTGTTTCTAGTGGTGTGTGGATAAGAGCTTCATTTTCTTTTCCTTTTATTTTTTTTTCCTCACATTTTGCCTATGCTATGAGCAGCCATTGCCATGCCACTGGTCTCAATCTGCTTAACAGGAAAACATGGACAAGGATTCCTAATTAACAAGTGTATGTGTTGTACCTTGTTATCCTGTTGCTTCATCTTCCTTTCTAGAAATGCAGTTCAGGAATAAAAATTTGCTTCACTTTTATTTGCTCATCCAGACCAAGAGATCATCCACATTTAGTTGTGAGAAAGTGAGGGAGGAAGGTTGTCTTCTGTCTAGGATCCTTATTCCCACTTCTATAGTGGACATGAGATTCCGTGGAAGATTCTATGCCAATGAACAACTCTATACATAATTCAATAATTGGAGGATTCAATAATCCTCCACTCAGGTAAGTATATGTATACTTTTTTTTTTTTTTTTTTTTTTTTTTTTTATCCTGAAAAACCCCAAAGTCTGCATTATATTGTTGGCCAGTTCATTAATTCATTCCCTCATGACTTTTACTTTTCAGGCAGAGCACACAGAATTAGTCAGAAGGGTGATTGCACGCATCTCCTGAGGAGAAGCTGGAGGGGGATGTACAGAAGCAGGAAACAAATGAACAAACAAACAAAGCTAAAAACCATAAAATCACTGCTTCTTCTTACTACTCTATTTAATGTAAAAAGATTGGAAATGACATAGCACTACTGTATGGTAGGGATGATACATCAGTGAGGGAGCAACACATTTAGCCCATTCACCACATGAAGCTCAGTTCAGTCTGGCTTTATTTCTTCTGTATTTCTCTGGGCACAGAAGGGAAAATCTCCATAGAATCATAGAATATCCTGAGTTGGAAGAGACACACAAGGATCATTGAGTCAAACTCCTGCTTCCACACAGGTCTACCCAAAAATTCAGACCATATGACTGAGGGCATAGTCCAAAGATTTCTTAAACTCTGACAGCGATGGTGCCATGACTACGTCACTGGGGAGCCTGCTGCAGTGCGTGACCACCCTCTTGGTGAAGAACCTTTTCCTGACATCCAACTTGAACCTCCCCTGTTGCAGCTTGACTCCATTCCCTCAAGACCTATTGCTAGTCACCAGAGAGAAGAGATTCATGCCTGCCCCTCCACTCCCCCTTGTGAGGAAGCTGTAGACTGTGATGAGGTCTTCCCTCAGCCTTCTCTTTTCAAGGCTGAACAGGCCAAGTGACCTCAGCCACTCCTCATATGTCTTCCCCTCTAGGCCCTTCACCATCTTTGTAGCCCTTATATGGCTACTCTCCAGTAGTTAAATGTCCTTTTTGTACTGTGGTGCCCAGAACTGCACACAGTACTCAAGGTGAAGCTGCACCAGTGCAGAGTAGAGTGGGACAATCACTTCCCTCGACCGGCTAGCAACGCTGTGCTTGATGCACATGAGAGATAATGAGAGAACAAACTTGATAATGAGAGAATAAATTCACAATGCAAAATATATTCCTTATTGAAATCCCAGCTCTTCCTCACTTACTTCTCCTCTCTTGGACTCAAGGCTGAAGAGCAGGTTTTGAGAAGTCATCACAGGGGCTTCAGAGAAGCTGTCTTTACTAACTATCCACTACCTTGAGGCAGCTAGCAGGGGTCAAATGAAATCAAGAGTCCTTTTTTTCAAGCTTCCACAGTTTGGTCCTGCATTCTGTATATTTTTTAAGTTCAATATAATCTCATTATGTCTGATGGAAGAAACATGACCAGCTCTCTATCTCCTGTCTCTTGATTTTGTTGCCTACTAAAAAGATATTTATTATTGCATTACCACTTACATCGGCTCTAGCTCTGGAAAGAGAACCACATACTAAGCAGTCATACTCACAAAAATATTAACAGCCCAGATCCTCTCTCATCTGCCAGCTGAGTAGAGGGAGAAGTTTCTAAAATGTAACTGTTTTGAAGATTAACCATTGGATTGACACAAATGGATTTTATTTGTTTATATATTTATTGATTGAAGTTGTAACACAAATGCTTTAAATCTTTGGAAACAGTTTTCCTTCTTTTCTTCAGTTTTACTTGCTTCAGGTATTCTCACCAACAATGAAAAGTTTAGTTGAAGAGCCATTGTTTCACCCTCCCAGCCCAGCCAGAATCAGTCTGATGGCAAGTTACAGACAGTATCTTCTGTGACTTGGCAGGGATCACTCAACAGCTTTGACAGACCAAAGCAGAATTCAGTGAAATTCGGGATTGAAACCATTACAAAATATTCCTACTTACTACATAATTTGTAAGAAGTAGTAGCATTTGACTTACTATACAAACATATGTGTATAAATTTGCATTTATAGAAGCAACTACAGACATTCAAATAGTTATGGGGAGAGAGGAGGAGTGGAATATTACAAAAGGTAGAAAAAACCTAACTGGATGTATCTTAAAGCTGTAGATAACTTTTAGTATCATGATTCCATGAAGCCAGATGACAAGTAATACAGGCAGAGAATAAAGGAAAGTACATCCTCCTTGTAAACCGGGGAACCTGCATCCAAAAAAATATATGTTATCCTGGAGAAGAAATCTAAAATAAGCTTTTAATGGAATACCATGCCTGGACAAGGACACCTGCAGTCAGTCAACAGCATAGTGTTAGGAGCAGAAAAACAAAACAAAACAAACAAACAAAAAAAAAAACCACATCAATAGAGCTTCTGTAGAAAAGAATCTTGATCAGTGAATCAGAGATAAAATTTGAATAAAAATTATACTCTTTGTTTTGCTCATTCAAAACTCCAGATAAAATTTTTTTAACATATGTAACTTAAAGTACATAAGAAAACATAAATACAGTAAATAGCATAGTTTATTCAGGAGAATAATTTCTGTATGTGCTAGTGATGCTATTTTTCATTTCCAACATACCATTTCATTTCAGTCTTTTAAACGTGAAGCCCTGATATTGATGGCAACATAGGTAATGAGATCAGATGTTCATTTGGTGGAAGGTAGCTAAACCCTCCATGTGCTAGAGCTGCCCTTGCAAGCATAGAAGAGCATATGAAAAAGTAGTTTTTAGCCATCTTCAAAGGCAATTTCCCTCACAGGGAATTTTGTCTACTGAGGTCAGAGTAGCCTTCCAAATATCAAAACTCTTCTTTTTTTATCCAAAGACCCAGTGATGCATTTTGGCAGAGAACTATAGCACAGTGGTACAGACATCAAACAGCCTAAAACAGTCCTTATAAAGAAGATTTTCATTCAGTTCTGTAGTGCTTGTGTATATGTAAGAAAAATGTATGGTATGAGCAGTCCTCACAGGTACTAAGCTATGAGATATCAATACAGGTATATGGTTCAATAGCTATCATTCATGATAGCTGTGGTCTACAGCTGTAATGTTGCAGCATTTTCGTTGTTGTTAAATCAATACTCTTATCAAATTATCAATATTAATTATAAATACAATTTTAAAATTGTATTTTATGTGTACAGTATCTAATTCTGTGTTCATTCTCAGAGGTTTTGATTTTGCTTTATCTTTTTTTTTTTTTTTTTGAAATATAACAAAATTGCAATTAGTTAACCCATGTCTACTTTCTTTATAGCTTTGACTTCTGAACTGGAATAAGAAGACATTAAGATTAGGATAACAAATATAATATATAAATTATATTAGTCCAAAATTTAAAAAAAGTTCTTTTTTTTTTTTTTTTTTCTTGCAAAAAAGGCAGCTACCTACAATTAGATTTTTTTTCTATGTGATAGCATATTAATTCATGAAGTAGTAATTTCTAAGGTCCTGATACATTAAAATATTCAAGCATAACTCCTTCTGGTATACTGTGAAGAGACTTCCTTTAATAAATATTAAACTTGTGCTATTGAAGTTGGTGTTCCACATGTGCTGCTAATACGAAACTCAAAAGAGAATCCAATACCTTCTCTACTACATGCATTTGTAGTCTTAGGTTGTAGTGCTAGCTGCAAGCTTGAAAACCTTTTTTGAAAACTTTAACCGAATGTTTCATGAGTATTAGAGTAAATGGACTTGATTATACTGTAGTAATCATAATAATGCTTTTTTGCATTTGTGCTCTAATGCACTTTAGGAATGTACTACAGGAATTACAATTTTAAATTTGGGTACTATTTTCTCTTTAAAGCTAGTTAAAGTAATAAGTAGGAAGGACAAAATCTCAATATAAGTGGTCTACATGTATAATTATGGCAGTTTTCAAATAATATGTCATAAGAAACAGACTTTAAGTTTTATACAGGGCTGATATTTAACTTACTGATAATTCAGTTTCACCTGCTTTTTTGGAGACCAGTCTTTAGGGATAAGACAATATAACCATTAGGTATAAAGGAATAACTTCAAATATAGACTGAATTAAAATTCTAGATAATGAAGGTAACCTAAAGATGAAACACATTTTACATACACAACTGAGAATTCATTTTTTTAAAGACTAAGAGGAGTACTGAGTCTGCAAAACGTTATCCATATATGGGTTGGCTGTATTGAAGTCAGTTATTATGGTTCTAAGTAAAATGTTTAATTTTGCTTTGTAATACAGAAGCATTTCTTGTTAATAAAAAGTTTGGTTCTCACTTGGATTGAGGGTTTAATTTGTTTTAAAATGACGAGTTGGTCACTGTGATACATTTGCTGGTCACTGTGACACATAAAGCCACATGTAACACATGCAATGAGAATCATTAGATTTCTCTAAACAACCAACCAGAAAATTTCCCTCCCAGGAGATTAATGTGCAGGAAATTTCAATGGCCACCTTGGTAGAACTTTTCACTGATTTCTGTTTATCTGGAAGGATATTTTTAAGCATGTCTACCATTTACAGAATCATAGAATTGTAAAAACATTCAGGTTGGAAAAAACCTCCGAGATCATCTGGTCCAACCATCACCCTACTACCAATGTCATCTACTAAACCATGTCCCTAAGTACCATGTCCAATCTTTCCTTAAACATGCCCAGAGATGGTGACTCCACCACCTCCTTGGGCTCCAATGCCTAACTACTCTTTGTTCCTATTATTCATGCCATTCCCATCCTGTGAATACCAGAAAAAAAGAGCAACATTTTGGTTCATTAAATTATTGTCCATAATTATTTTAAAAAAGAGAACTGTTTCCCTAGATGTTTAATCTTTTTAGCTCTGTAGTTGTCATAAGAACATCAATTTCATTTCAGTAACATATTATTTCAGTACCAGTGAATTAATTGTGTATGGAACAAACCAAAATCTTCAAAGAGTCTGCTGAAACTAAAATCATTTTCTAAATAATATTGCAATGTGTATTTCCACCTTCTGACAGAAAAATAATTCTTTGCTCTTGAATCAGGAAGTCTTTTCTTGACACATTTGCTAAACTTTTGGAGAAGACATCAAGTAAAATGCTAAAAATAAATAAATAAATAAATAAATAAATTTTGTCTATTCTTAAGGATCTTTACTTCCTATTTTTCTCATTTTACATATTTTATTTATTTATTTATTCCAGACAAATAAAAAACACTTTCCTTCTTGTCAGTTGCTTGTCTCTAAAGTTGTTTTCTAATTTCACACAGGAGAAGCAGCCATAACACAGATTTACTTCCTCACTGTTCCACTGAAAAGGTGTTTTTTTTTTTTTTTAAATAATTTCTGTTGCTTTTTGATGTGCATTTCGTGCTACGTTTCACATAAATAATATGAAAAAAATGCTGTGATGACCTTCTAAAATATTTAAATAACTACTTATCTGACACATTCACCCTCTTCTTCATTCAAATTAAAATGAAGAATGTCTTTGGTAAAACAAAACAAAACAAAAAAAAGAAGGAGAATGCTACTAAGCTTATTTTCATTTTTAAAATGTAATCCACAGTCCACTTTTGCATATAATGAAAAGGTTAAATACATTTCATGGACAGCAGGCAATTCTATGACTGTGCAACTCTGAAAAAAATGGGATTCAGAGCGGTTCTCTACAATATGAGTGTATGTACCCATTGCTTTTAGAAGACTGTAGAAACTTTACATTTCCTGAGGATTAGTCCTAAAAATACAAATCACCTTCCCTGCTGACTGCTATGATAAAGACCATAGGAGGTGGCTTTTATCTTCTTGAGTTTTTTAAACAAAGTTGTTTCTGGCATATACCCTGGCTGCTATTTAACAGTCAGTCTAACCTTTGCTGTCAAAAAGACAAAGTACCGCTTTTTTCCTGTAAAATGCTCATAATGTAGCTAGAATTTAAGAATCGTCTAAGAATTCTGGATACATCACTTTCCACTTATTTATCTGCACAATTTTACATTGTAAGTAGCTATCTTAAATTGCAGTCTTATCAATTAAATAATACTGATTTAAGCAGTCTTCTGGCCTTAAACAGAAGGAAGATAATTAAATTACATTGGGAATTAAGTTAAATGTAAGAAGGAATAACTTTATGAAAAAGCTTCATCTGTGTTAAATTGAAAGCTCTTGGATGAATATAGCATTTACATCACTGTAAATTCTTATAACAAATTCTCTGACATTTAAAAGAACACTAATTTCTACCCCTTTAATTCTGCTTATTACAATGTATTATGTAATCAATACTATAAATGCATCATTAACCATCCTGTGCTTAAGGTAACTGCTAGCATTAGTCTGGTCCAATACATGGATGGATCTAAAGCCAAAGTATAAATCTTGTTGGATCTTTTTTTGTTTGTTTGTTTGTTTTGTAATGTTGTATCAGTATATTTCTGACATTGTTTGTAACGTAAAGACTACTAGTTGTACTTTCTGTTCTCTTTTCCATGCATACTATTTAGGTTTAGACCATTTACAGAGATGAAAAGCCAAATAGAATTATTTTTATTTTTGGAAGTAGATTCTGTCAGAGCAAATTTTGCTTTTATAAGACCAATTGAACACATAAAAATAAAGAAAATAAAAAGGAATAATTAGAACTCTATACTGTTAGTGGCTAGTAATAGCCCTGGGAGATATTGAATCCTTCTAAACTTTCTGAACCTTCTCAAGTCTATTATTACAGAATCACATAATCACAGAATGATGACCTCTGGAGGTGATCTGGTCTACCTCACTTGCTCAAGCAGGGACACTCAGAGCAGGTTGTCCAGGATCATGTCCAGGCAGCTTTTGAAGATCTCCAAAGAGTGAGACTCCATAACCTGTCTGGACAACCTGTTCCAGTGCTCCATCACCTGCAAAGTGCTTCCTGATATTTAGACATTATGTTATTGGAGTGATAGTATTTTATTGGTTGCAACTACAATGCTTTTTAGTTATTTGATGCAGGATTGTAAAAGCTCATTGCTATTGCAGTTACTTTCCTTATGTGCTGCTTCAGCGTAAACAAGTCATGTCTCCATCATTATTAATGGTCCATCATTAAAATATGTCCCCAATCACTGCTGGATTTAGATGAGTAATTGTCATTCTCTACCTCAAATCCCTCTATTGTCTTTGAGACTACGAGCGTATGCCATTGCTTATTTAGGCTTACATCAATATAAAGAACATCTTTACAAAACTTGCAGCACACTAGCATGTTAATCATAGTATCTATATTTGCAATACCTTGATATTTATTCTGAAGAGTCACCCCAGTTCTCTAGGACAGGTGGCTCTGAGTGGCTAATGTCATATTACTTAATAAATAAGCCTTACAAATAAATACACCATACTACATTATTCAGCATTTTTAATCTTTCCTACTTTGCCATGTGACTGCTCAGCACCTAATGCACAACTGTTATATGGACACCTTATGAACACACTGAAAGTTTCAAAAGCAAGCCACATGTAAAACTGCAGATGCTTCTGCTTTTAATACTGGTCCTGTTTAAAAGACATTTATGTATGATTTAGGGTCATTTCAAGGCCTGACTCATTGTGTTGTTTGAGCCAGGCAAAGGATTTCTGCATAGATGAATCACAGAATCTCACAATGCTGCAGAAACTACTCCTCTGCAAAAGAGAATGACAAGAGAAGTCCTGACTGCTTGGCAGTTTTATACTACTCAGTCTGGATTGTTTAGATAGAAGAACTCCATTGATCCTCTTCAGTTTCATGACCTGGGACTAAGGATCTAAGTCTCCAGCTACATGCTTTCCATATTCACACACACACACACACACACACACACACACACACACACCAAATTCCCTGTGAATGAATTCCCTATGAATGTGGATCTTCTGGACACAACACATATGTCTTAGAACCAGAGACATATGATGAGAAGTCCAGGAAAGGACTACCTCAGAAATATATTTTCCCACAATATTTTCCTATGTCCCTTCAGCAAAGGAAGGCTCTAGTGACTTCAGTCCTAGCATGCTTCAATAGGTAGCCTGATTATATATATACACATGGTTCTACATGTTTATATGTACATATTCAATTTATGCCTTACTACCTCTATAGATGTTAAGGTTTCATTTTTAGTGACAGAGAATTAATCATTTGTGATTAATCCTCATTCCCTTAGGATGCTGGTATCATCTTGGGCTTCTACTTTTGAAATTCCCTGCAAGAGACTCCTTGTTTTTCTTCAGTTGCCTTCAAGATATGGATTACTGACAACATTACTAATGGTTTATTAGCAAAACAGTCATTAGTAAGTCCTTACTCTAGAATCACTGAATAGGTCATTCTACAAAAGATATCTAGCTAGAAGATATATATATATATAATGAGATTACATAAATATTTTGCCAACTCATTATTATTATTTTCTTTTAGTTACAGAAATATCACTGGTATTTAAACTAAACAGCTTCACAATACTATTCACCATATAGATCAGCCCTTAAACACAAAGGTGAAATATTATGAAACTACTGACTCCTCACAGCAAACACAACCTAACCATTCTCCATATATTTCCTCTTACTTATGCCTGTTCCACAGCTGCCTTCTTCAATCAATTAAGTTAATAGGTTGCAAGTATATCCCCCATCTTGAAGTCCCCTCCAGTTTATAGCATAGTCAGCAGAATTCATAAAGCCATCTTGTGCATAATGACTTTCAAGGCAATCCTCTGTAGACATACTCTGCAAAAGCATAGAGTCTTATCTACCCCTGCCCCTGGCAAGCACTGCTACAACTGTTTTGAGATGTTGGTAGAATCGATAAACATGTATTATATTTTGTGGTTGTGGTTTAAAACAACAAGCAGCTAAGCACCACACAGCTGGTTGCTCACTCCTCCAACCCCCAGCTGGAACAGGGGAAAGAAATGGATAAATAAATAAATAAATAAAATTAACCAAAAAAAAACAAACCAACAAACAAACAAAAAAATGAAAACAAAAACAAAAACAAACAAACAAACAAAAAAACACCTTGGGGATTGAGATCAAGAAAGTTTAATTGGACAGAAAATGAAGGAAAGGAAGGACGAATAATAATAATGATAAAAGATAATGATAAAAGTGATGCACAATGCAATTGCTCACTACATGCTGTCTGATGCTCAGCCTTACTCCAAGCAGAGCCTCCCCTGTTTTATTGTTCAGCATGATGTCATATGGTATTGAATATCCCTGGCCAGTTTGAGTCCACTGTCCTGGTTCCATTCCCTCCCAGCTTTTTGTGCACCCCCAGCCTTCTCATTGGCAGAGCAGCAAGAGAAGCTGAAAAGTCCTTAACTATGTGTAAGCACTACTCAGCAACAGCTAAAACATCTATGCATTATCAGCATTATTCTCATCCTAAATCCAAACCACAGTACCATACCTGTTACTAGGAAGAAAAGTAACCCGGCTGAAAGCAGGATAGTTGGACAGTCTTGAACTACAGCCAGTAAATGAAGTTAGGAAGTCTGAGAAGACTTCTTCACAGGAAAGAAAAATAATAAATAATAATAAATAATTAATAATAAATAATAATAATAAATAATAATAAATAATAATAAAAACAATAATAAAAATACTGGGAATCCTGGGGACAATGGGGAGCAACAAGCTGATTCCAGCTGGAATCGGCTTTCCAGGAAGGATTCTGTCATTGTGAGCAAATGGCACTAAGAAGCAGAGAAGGAAGAAAACCTCTTCAGAGTGTACTTGAAAACTTGTAGCCCAGAGGTCCACCACATGAAAGACTAGGCCCAACTCAAGCAGGTTGTCTACCAGAATGAGACCTAAACATAGTTCTCTGATTTCTGGAATAAGTCAAATAGTGATTGTATCTGAGAAGGAGTCTATTAAATGAGTGACACAGAGAAAGATGATCTGTGTGACCTCCCAGTACATTTTCCAGGTATGTATAATTTGCTGATGCAGATGCAGTCTTGATGGGCCTGTAGGAGGGGGACAGAAATAAAGATGACTCACTGATAAGTCTTTGATGCTTAAAAACTAAAACATTGAAAGTAATTTTAAGCAATTTTGTTCCAACCTATATGTCCTGGATAATTTCAAATATTTTGAATTAAATGAGAACATCTTTATTTACTAATATTTGGCAGAGAGCTTGCCTCATAAATAGTTATGCAATTAAGATGACACCTTCAGTTTTTGATATTTCTTTCATAGTTTTGAAGAGTTGTGTAGTTCGATGCAGCTCAAAAATAAATTTATTTTGAAAATAGAAAAAAAAAAGAAAAAAGACATAAAAAAAGCACATATATACATACACCTGTCTGTTTTTGAATTTTCTGCATTAGCATAAAATTAAGAGCAACATCTATATTGCTGCTCAGTTTCTCAGCTTGCTTTTCTCCCATAGAAATAGAGCAAAGTGATCAGAATACTGAATAAGGACAGCATTGAACAAATAACGGATTTGCCCCCGTTTGAATAACAGCTGAATTATGAGTGTCCAATCCTAATTGTTACTTGTAAGGAAAGAGTGAGTGACCCAAAGCCACCTCCAGTTACCTTGTGATGGCTTACATTCAAAGACAAAACCAAGTCACAGGCCAAGCAGTGTGCTCCAACTCTAGAAGGCACATGTAAGTAAAACCCATATGTGTGACTGTATTACTATCAGTCCTCCAGCAGTTGGCCAGCATCCATGCAGCAACAGAAAGCTCTGTAATCCTAACATAGCCACATTATGCATGAATGTCCTGTGTGTATCCTCAGTCCCTGTAAAAAAAAAAAAAGAGAGCCCGTTTCTTTTCACCCTGCAAGGTCGTTTAGGCTCATAGAAAATTCCAAATGACATTGTCTTCTCCCCTGTTTCCCTTACACAGATAGGGTCATTCTTGGCTCATGTTAGCTCCTCAATCCCAACTTGCAACTAAAGTAATTCATGCTCCTATCAATGCATTGTAGCACATGGCTGGCATTGAAGCTTTGCTGACCAATCCATCCTATTCCACTGAACAGGATTTTTGCAACCTTATTCCTTTGTTTCTGACCATCTGGCTGTCATCAAAGCTTCTCATCAATCAGGGTAGACACATGTCCATCTTCTGATGAAGCAGATTCAGGATGAGAATGACAGGTAATCTCCATTAACATTTTCTCCACCTTCTCAAGTGAAATGCTCCCATGTAAGTTTTCATGTACTCTCAAACTTGCTGAACAGGTATGTTTGAAATTATGTGAAATGGCTAACATTATTGTTAGAGTATCAAAATTGCCACGCAGTACCTCCTGGCAAAATACATCCTTGTGAAAGAAGTTAGCATAAGAAAGAAAGTGAGTAAGTAAGAAGGGTCCAAGAGCTACAGCAATTACTGCAAAGCCTCAGACCACATCCAAGATTGGAGGGAAAAAAAAAAAAAAAAGACATCTGAAAATCTGAATCATACATTGCTGTCAGGCAGAGAACCTTCTTCCCTTCTCCCCTCTCTTCCCCGCCCTCTCCCCTCCCCCCCCCCAGCTCTACAGCAGGCCTAGCACATCTGGCAATCCACAAAACAGTGATTTTGCAGTGTTTTTTTTATCTGATGTTGTACTGTGTTTCCTTTCTTTTCCTCTTCTCTCCACCAGACATTCATGGGATTTTAATAACCCAAAAGATAACTGCACACTCTAAATGGAACACATTTAATTTTTCAGACGATCCAACTGTGCAAAAGTCCAGCAAGAGTGTTCATGAAACTACATGCCAAGAGCACTTTACTCCTTGACTGAGTTTTGCATAAGAGATTTAATTTCATATACCAATAAACCAGAGAATCAATTATGGAATTTGGAATTCTTAAAATATTTATATATATATATATATATATATATATACATATATATATATTATAGATGGGTGTGGGGCTAAATAGTTTTTGTTGGTTATATCTTGCTTAGGCAAGTAAAGTTTATTTTATTGTATCATCAGAAATAACTCTGTGAGGGTTCATGTGGTTGCTTGATGCTGAGCTTCACAATAAAATCAAGTTTGCAACACATTTGCAAGAGTCTACCCTCATTTTTGTCTAATGCCTTTTTCAATGTTTCTGCAAAGTATTCTGCTAATCCATTTGGAGCTGGGTAATAAGTATCTGATCTAGTGCATTTTGTTCAATTTTCTTTTTCTTCTTGAAAACTAGAAATTCTGCTGAAAAATATGAAAACACTTTATCTAAAACAATCTCTTCAGGCAAGCCATATGGGATAAGCCAAAATCACAATATGCCTCGGTAGTTTTAACAGAAGTGTTTATCCTATGTGTCATTTCTGGCCTCCTACAATAAAAACAGTCTATAATTAAGTATATTTATTTATTTTTCTCTATTTTTCTCTACTAAACCAAGATGAGTTACCAAAGCTTACTGCGTTGAAGAAGATGGAGCAGTTTGAGCGACATTGTTCACACTGATTTTCATTGACACACCATCAAGAATAAGTTCTCTCCATTTTATTTATTTATTTATCTATTTATTTATTTATTAAATTATTTGTTCTCTCCAGCATGCTGGATTAAAAATTACATTGTATGGCTTGGGAAATGAACATTAACTGAATAGTAGATTACACGTATTAACTACTTATTTTTAAAAATTATTCATCTATACACTGACAAGAACACAAAATCAGCATTGTGTCTTTCAGCTAGAGCACCTTACCACTTTTGTAAATCTCCTAATTATCACAAGTCAGAAAAATAATGAGAAATTCATAGAATCATAGAATGTAATCAAAGAATGGCTTGGGTTGGAAGGAACCTCAAAGATCATCTAGTTCCCCTCCCCCGCCATAGGCAGGGATGTGACCCACTAGATCAGGTTGCTCAGGGCCTCATCTAACCTGGTTTTGACCACCTCCAGAGATGGGGCATCCACAACCTCTCTGGGAAACCTGTTCCAGTGCTTCACCACCTTTACAGTGAAGAATTTCCTAGAATTGCTTCCTAACCTCTAACCTCAGTCTCCCCTCTTTTAGTTTAAAACCATTAAACTAAAATGGTTTTAGTTTAAAAAACCATTAGTTTCCACTCAGACCTCTTATACTTGGAGGCTAGTCCAGTTTGAAGTTCACACCTGAGAATCAGTAACACTCACACAGAATTGAGAGCACACACACATAGAAAATATTTAAAAGTAGAATTTAAGAAGAATATTGAATAGACTGCTATTGTAATCTCACGGCTCTGTCACACCAGCCCCTTGTTTCTATGTGGTCAGACCTTTTAATCTCCCTTTTCATCTATTTTCTCATGCTTGTTCCTCCCCTAGTACTTCTTTCCCTTTTTGGTCCTTCCTAAATATCCTATAATATCCTACCTAAATATTCTGCGATATGGTCCTTGTGTTCCCACAATCATCTTAGAGCTCCCCCTAAGTTATTTGCCATCCCTAATGTTCTTCCCCCAATATCCCATAATGAAAAACCAGACTGCTACCTCCTTTAGACTGCCACCTCCTGTAGTCTGAAGTGAAAGAATTTTCTCTGAGGTCATCAAAACATGACTACTCTGTGGGTTTCACACCAGAGATAATGATTATTCTACCTGGACAGTTTTCCTTATATGCTCTATTCTCACCGATAAGGTTACAAGGTTGGTAGACCTATAATTGCTCTTCTGAACCTCCTTTGCTTCCTTCTCCCTTTGTGTTTACAGTAGTTAACCTTTAACTAGATAACCTTACATATGGCAAGTTGCAGAGAGCTGGGGTGTGACACCTTTAAAAAAAATACATAGACATTTCAGCCAGAAGCCATACAACTAAACCTAGAACTTTAGTTATGTCCTAGGTAAAGATCACAGGGTGACTGGCTTTAGGTGCAGCTTGTCATCAGCCAGTGTCTCCAAGTAACATATCAGCTCAAAACATCTGCACAGAGCTGGGTAATTGGGATGGAAATCAGACAAGAGGAGGTGGAATGATTGCACTTTTGGTGGTGGTCATACAGAGATAGCTGCACACTGACATCACTACAGAGGCAGAAGGGATAGGCAGTCCTAGTCCCTGCTGAGTGGGGCCTCTGGTCACTCAGGTGGTCTAATGTTGCTGCCTCCCTCAAAAGTGGAGGGAAGATTGGCTGCTGTGGCCTCACAGCCTGGTAAGGGCAAATTGTGTTTTCGTGGCATATGCAGTATCTCCAGTCTGCAGCTGTAATTTGTAAGTAAATACCAAAATGCCACATCTGGCATTTGCTTCTCTCAAGGGACATCCAAGTGTGCCATGGTCCAGTGGCACACTTCTGTCCCTGACTTCTGTCCCTGTCCAATCCCTGGGGCTTCCCCCTCCCTGCCCGTAGCCCAGGACCCCATGCCAGTCCCTGGGGCTTCCAGTTCCTGCTCCAGAGATGCCCAGCAGGGTCAGTCTCCAGCTAACCACAACCTGTCTTAAAAATCCCATGGGGAGCCCCTGTTGCCTCCAGCCCTAGGGAGCTGCTAGCCCCCTGGGTGATCTGACAGGGAACAGCAAAATAAGAAGTTAAATGGAAAATGTGAGGATGTTAAAAGTGAAGACCCAGAAAGTGATGTATGTCCCAGATGACAGCACTGCAAACAGTGACAGCTGGGTTCCTCACACAGGGTGGTCCTCTCTTGAGGTGTGATCATATCACATGTGTGATGACCTGGGGTTGATGAGTAGGGGTAGAGGAGATTCAGACAACAAAGAGTGTAAGTAGGAAGGGTTCTGTGAATACGTGATAAAATTTAGCTTCAATATTTTTATTTAATTCTAACATGCCCACCATTACACAGTATCAAATGTTCAACTCCTTTCATTTCTGTCAGTGTGGAAGCTTAATGTACTCTGAAATACTGTCCATCACAGGAATCTTAGAAATGATCTTTCTAAGATTCCTGTGCCCTAGCCACTACTATTGGACTAAAGACCATGACAATTTCAGAGACTGGACAAAGGAACCATGGGGCTGCATTTGGCTGGCAAGGGAATAGCGAGTGAGGAGAAGGCGGGGTGTGTGTGGAGGGAGGACATGACACTTAAGTTCTACTCAGAGGTTGCATCTCTAGGAAGCACTCTGGGTGAAAGGGACAATGATGGATGACTACACCAGAGCATACCTGTGCCTACGGCTTTCAGTTTTTCGGTTTGGCATGTTTCTCTAAACATGAGGCCGATAAAGAACAAGATACCAGTGTTAAGCAACCAAATCCTTTTCTAGGAATGAAATTCATTTGCCTAAAAAGTAGCCAAATCATTAAGGAAATGATTCATCTGTTTGTGGGGGATCTAATACACACTAATATGTGTTAGTGCCTGAGGGCAGTTCATCCTGTTCATGAAACTACTGATACCCACCTCCATCCATATAGCTGTGACTTCATCCAGACCTTCTGAGACTACATGTATTCTCTTCCTGAAACAAATATTACAAAATAACTTTTAAAATGAACACGAACTGATCAAGATACTGTTATAGGTGCCTAGCCATTGGTGCTCCCCTGTTATAAGCACTGTTTGAAGACACCTCAGATGAGCATGATTGCTTGACAAATAATAGAAAGGAATTCCTTTCAAAAGTTCTTTGAATTATGAAAATGATACCCAAAGACTGGCTGAAAACTATTCATTCTGGGGGACATACAAGATTATATCTGAGGGGAGCAGAGAGATGGGAACTAACCTATAATCCTAGAAGTATTTACGTGCACAAGAAGAGGCTATCCTAATGTGTTATTTGCATATGTCTGTGAAGAGTTTTGCTCTGCCAGGCTAACCAGAGCTCATCTATTTAGCAAGTTAGTCTGATCTTTTGTGTTTGTTTGTTTTCACTCCTCACACAACTTGCTATCAAGGCCATATGGACCCACAGTGAGTATTTGTGTAAGGAATATCATCATATATGTATCTGGGAGCAAAACACAGGGATACATACCACTGTTTCTGGCATTTGATTGTTGAGTTCAATCATTTTACGGAATAAGAAGCAGTCACCACATGCGCTCTTGTACCTGCATCCCCTCTCTTTATCTGTGATGCTGTAATCCAGTTGTGCCGCTGGCATGGCTCTTTAAATTTGAATTGATCTGCTGTGGAGTATGCCTGGTGCTGTTTGAGTAAATGCTGCAAGCTGTGTCTGAAGCAGTGGGAGGTGATGTGTTCTTGTAGTGTCTTAATACTGTCAATCTTAATTTCAGGTGAATCAGTTTTAACTAACTTCTTCCTATTCTGATCCCTTCTAGAGTGCAAGAAGCTCTCCATGTTGTTGAACATGCCAGGTGAGACAACTTTGACAGGCTCTTACATGAGATTGAAAGCCATTCACCAGTGCTTTTTTAAGCTTTTTTTAATTTTTATTTATTATATTTTTTTTTCTGCCTATACAGACTGGCCCTATTATAGGAGTATAATGTACCCTTGAGGCCTTTTGAGGGAAGGCTCAAGAGACAAATATAGTCTAAGGAATTCAAGGGTGCAATGAAAAGGGTTAAAAGTGTAGCTTGCTTTGTATGTGACTTGTGATATCATCTTGTTGAAAGCATCATTGATTTGAAATTATATTTTTTAAAAGGTGTGTATCTGCAGAATCTGCAGTGAATAAAAGAGGAAATAAGTTATTCAGCATTTCAGAAGAAACATCTTATGAACTAAGATAGCTAATTCAGGAAATGCAGTCAAAGAATCAACAGATATTTAATGAGGAATCTCATTGTCTGTGAAATCTTTCTACCTGACAATGAGATTCAGACCAAGAAAATGTGTGACAAGAATCTGTCATTATAAGTTGCAGTCTAGTATTTCTTTAATTCTTCTTTACCCTACTGAAAAGCCTATTGGATAACAGTGTGCTGTGCCAATCTGTGATAATATACCTCTGTACTGTAAGAGGCTGAAGTCTAGAGTCTTCAATAAACAAGGAGCTCACTCTCCATGTTCCAGCCCCTAGCTCTCACACACAATTACCCAAACACAAGGTACAAAACATTATTATGTGTTCAGTGATAGTGTTGAGGGAGACTTTTGTCAGTTTGAGGATGGATTCCCTGCAAACTTGTTTCAGTCATGAATGCACATAGGCAGGATAAAAGACTACCGGTCTGATATACCTTCCATTGTAAAAACATGCGCTGTCAGCTGCCTTGGGGAATTAATATATAGCTAAATCTAGGTACCCATTTAATCAATATGCCTTTCAGAACCTTGTATGTGTACTGTTAGTCTTATAATCATACCTTAAAAAACATGAAGCTTATTTCAGTTTAAAAAGTTACGTACATATAATTTTAAATGTTTTACATTGTGTCTACATTTAGCATAGAATATTTTCTCAAATAACTGTTGAATAAATACAATTAAGTCCTGAAGGCAACATGACTGAATGTCCTTTGAGGAAGGTTAAGCAGGAATAGTTTTCTGACCCGATATTATTTTAAGGCTTTCATCGATGATCTTAAATAAAATGTTCTAGAAAATATTTTTAAAGATGAAGAAGGCTGTAGAACTGGTTACATTATAAAGTGTGCAGGTCATTGCTTCAGGAAGATTTGGATCACTTGGTAAGCTAGGACATGAGAAATACTAATTTCAGAACTACGTAAAGTAAGCTATGCTTACAGAAAGACTGTAGGCAAACTATACAAGGATGCAAAGACTCCAAAAGACTGAAGTAGATAGTCATCTGAGCAGAAGTTTTCAATGTCATAAATAAAATAGGTAATTAGTGGGAATGTGGAACAGAAGTAAAGGGTTGCCTGTTGCACACATCCAGTAATTACTATCCATAAATTGAGGAATCTTAAAACACTGAAGAGAGTTTAAAACAAAGAATAAAGCCCCTAAATAATCATTCCAGTAGTTAAAAAAAAAAAAAAAAAAATCATAACATCTCAAAAAGAAAAGAAAACAACCCCCCAAAAAACACTATTATTTCTAATATAATTGAGGGAACTTGATAGAGTGTTTTGATTGTACCTTTAAGTATTTGCATGGCTGCGCTGACAGGAGAGGTATACTTGAAAAGGCTTTGTAGGGATTTTAATTCTAGCAAACAAGAAGGTTTTGTCAAGATTCCCTGGATAGTTAGCTGGATGTGTTGGTTTAAATTATTTATTGGCTTATACTTTTTCCAAAGAGTAATGGCAACCCTCTGAGGTCTTCTTCTGGAAGATGGTGTTCTAACATTTGATTAATATTGTCATCTTTTTAAAGAGGGCTTTGAGGATAACCCTCCAAATGCTGATGCCCAAATCTGCTGCTGCTCATCCCATATACACTACATTTTTCCTACCAACTATTTTTGCAGATGTGGGAAGGAAAAATGCAGCTAGAGTAAGGATCTTCCTTTTTTGATGATGACAGCCTGTTCAGAGAACATAGTCACCCTGATATGATGCCCATAGTTCTATAGGTGGTACACAGCCTGTAAAAGCTTGCATTTCTGCAAGTTCCATCCCTGAAGAAGACAGCAGCTGCTATTTGTTAAGAAAACATAACAAAAACTTTTTTTTTTCTTTTCATTTGTAAGAAAAAGGATTCAGCAAGTTTTGAGGTCATGAAGGTCATGAAGAAACACCCAAATTTACCATAAACCTAACAAAATTAAACTGCATTAATATTATTTTTAAACATATTATAATTTAACTTTTTAAATAGAAAAAGTTGTTGATATTTGTGTTTAAACAATTCACTTTAGCTTTCAGGATATAAGTATATCATTTAAAAATGTTTGGAATTGTTTTCACTGTGCTATTTACTGAATTACTTCTTAAGCAAATGTTTGCATATGTAATTAGAAAACTCTATGAATGAACATGTGCAGCAATCATATTTGCAACATTTTACATTTATGCCATTAAAATTACTTGCTTCAGACATTTACACTTATTGTTTGTTTGTTTTTTTAAATGTTACTGGAAACACTTCAAATATATTGGAAATTTATGCTATCTCTATTAGTAGTTCATACGAATGTAATAGGGTCATCTTCTTCTTTTTTCATTACGGTGTTTTTGTTTCATTTGACTTTAAAGTCAGGACAACTAAAAATGTCCAAAACTTTTATTTTTTAGCAGTTGTTAGTGATGGTGCATTGTCTTGTTGTTTTTGGGTGGGAGGAGGATGAGGCAGGGAAGAGGAAGTGTGAAGAAGAAATACTTAGTTGGTTTCTGTGACATATAATTCTGTTTGAAAAATTATCCTAACCTGTATTATCCTAACATGTGTTCGGAGACAATCAATGTTCCTCAAACATTTTAATTTCAACACACACATGACTCTGGCTTCGTGTCATGACTACCTATTATATTAATAGAGAAGCACATTGATATGTAATTAGACAACATCCATGAGTTCCTCACCTTATTCAAAAAATGTCTTTTATCTTCTAAAATTCTTTATAGTTCTTATGTGTTTCCTAATGAACTAATGCAATTTCGAAATGTATCAATTGAAGTGTAGGTGGAGGTTGGCATTAATGTCAAGTAGGGCATTTTTGTGCTCCTTCAAGTTTGTGCATCTAAGGATCTGGAAGGTTGCTTTGATGAAGGAATGTTTTCTGTACTAATCCAAGACTCATTAAAAATGAAATGTGATTATTCTGCATGCTGAAGTGCTTTTTTATTTCAGTGGCTGAAGTCCCTTTTTCTGTTAAACAGTCTCACATAGCATACTTTCTGCTTGTACTTTGACCATCCAAATTTCAAACCCAGTTGCTAAAATTCACAAGTGATTCCAAATTGATTATAAATTTTAGCTCTCCTAATAAAAGACTTTTAAAATTTTATTATTAATGTCTCACTTACTGACTTAACTCTTTAGCATTTCTCTAGTGATAAAAATGGGGATCTAAAATGCTGCATTTTGATAACAAGATCCTTTACCAAATTCGGTTATAAATGAGAGCTAAAACAAAACAGCATTACTTAGGTGGTGACTCAATATGGGTGAAATGCTAAAGGAACAGAAGTTCAATGCCTCTTCACTTTGATAAGTGCTTTGATGAAAAGCTCAGAGAAAAAAGTATGTATTGGTGCTATTCAAAGCAAATGAACACAATGGAAAAGAAACTTTTCTTCCCAAGCAACAAAGGCTATCTGTGCATCTGCAGTTTGAGATTAAAGGTAGTACAAGGACAATATTTCTTTCACTGGTGGTGCTCTTTCCCCATTTTAGGTTGGCCCTGCAATGGTTCATTTATCAGGAATGTATTATGGTAGACAGCTTAAAAATATCCAAGTGATAGATACTCTTTTTCCTGTTGTGTTTAGAATAAATGGCTTACTGTAATAATACTGGAATTAGAGAAGAATTTGCTTCGAAACTTCTGGGAAAATGAACTTTATAAGCCCTTGAAACATTTATCTACTTTGAATGTCTTTCTCTTTTCCTCTCCTTTTTTTTTTTTTTCTAATGTTTATTTTATTTTATTTTATTTTATTTTATTTTATTTTATTTTATTTTATTATTTCGTTTGTTTGTCTTTTTAAAAGACTAAGCAGTTTTCAAATATTACTGGCTGGATTTTTCCAAAGTTTGTGATAAAAGAGTGAAAAGTGTGCATTTTCTTCAGTGTTGGCTCATTTTCCAGACATCCAGGAGACTTCAGGTATCACATTTCTTCTCTTTTCTGGAATACTGAGTCTGTGGTTTTATTTACTAAACAAATTTATACAGACTCATGAATTATACACCCTCATCTGAATTCAAATGACTTGTGGTTAATTGTTAATTTCCTCCTGGAAAATGGAGGAGAGGAGGTTCTGCTCAGAAAAACTAAGGCAGAAGATTTTATGTTTTCTTTGTAGTAATAATGTTTTGTTGTTGTTGGGTTTTTTGTTTTGTTTTTATTTTTATTTTTTTTCCCCCATTATACTTCTCTAATCACACTGATTTTTTTTTTTTCTTGCTGCAACAACAAACACAAGGTAAGGTCTTTATGCATCTCTGATTTTATTCATTAATCATTAATTTTGCATCTGTGAGTACAAAATTAATATTTTCCTGTCCGTTCCCAATAACTCACAGCACATCAGCAGTAAGATATGTTAAATGACATAGCTGCTGATGAAACCCGTGTGCTTCATTAGTATCTCCATAGTCATCCCCTACTAGTTAATTTCATTGAAGTAGCAGGTTTTGTAAATAGTGTCATATTATCATAACAATTACTTTTCAGTCTCTAATAATACCCTAAATTTGTGGGCAAACAGAAGAATCACCATACTTTTTACGCAGTGTCCGTGTAGCTATATTTGCAGAAAAACAGAAGTGTTGGTCATCTGTCTGCTCACAATGGAAAACTGGCAATAATGTGTGCAGATGTGAGCCCCCACACTGACTTATTTCTTCATGGGTTTCTCAGTGTAAGACAGTGTATGTATGTTCCCTTTTTCTTATTTTGTAGACTTAAGGTCTCAGAGAAAAAGTTTTTGATAGGGTACAGAGCAATTCATAAAACTTACCAAAGTAAACTTAGAAACTGTGACGTTTCTCGTAGGTGTTTTCACTACTAGGTTTAAACAAATTATTTAGGAGTTTACTTGGACATAATATCCCTCAGGAAAAAAAGACTGAATGACATGAGAATGGAAAAAAGCTTTTGAATCTGACCCAACAATTATATTTACACATCCTTAAAAAAGGAGAGCAAACTACTTTACTCCACAGAAAATTCTGTATCTGTTCCCAATAACTTTCAGGGGTGCCTTCTGTATAACTAACATTTATTTATTTATTTATTTATTTATTTATTTATTTATTTATTTATTTTTTCCCCTAGTGGCATCACACGTTACTTAATCTTTTTCTTTATTATTATTATTTGTTTGTTATGGTCAGGGAATCATCACCCCCTTCCTCATCCACTGACACAGTGCTTCTGTCAAAATTAATCAAAATAGCTCCTCTGCTTTTGAACATCTGTGAACTCTGTCCATTGATTGATCTTGAAAAAGCCACAGAATTCTAGGTTTACCAGCCTAGGATTCAAGATCTAATTGTGTGGCTTTGAGGAGATAACAATACATTGCTAGTAATGATAGATCAGAAGAGGTCCCAAGGATTATGATACCATAGTGAGCAGTTTTGACTAAAATTTCTCTTATCCTTCATCTGTTCACAGACAAGCATATACAGAGAGGAGAGAATGTAAATTTGCATTAGTCATTCCAAGACCTCAAAGACCTGAAAAAGTATTCTTTTTTTTTTTTTTTTTTCTTCCTACCAAATTCTTCCAGTTTGTTGCATCATGTTCCTTATGTTGTATTATCTGAGTGATTCTTGAATCTTTTTATGGTTTGGAATTTAAATTAAAAAAAAAAAAAAAAAAAAGTGTTTTCATACTACTTTATTGGTTGTAGGAACCTGTGCTATTCTTTAAAAGAAAAATGAGTAATTAGGGCTGAGGAGAAGGTACAAAGAGGACAGATGCAAACAGAAAGCTACAAAGAAGGATATGAACATTTTTAGTACAACATTTTATACATTCTGACAAAAATTATTCTTCATGAATATATCCCACATTGCTAAAAACACATAGACAAATGTAAAAAGGATATCTCTACACATATTTGAGTTAAATACCTTTATTGTCTTATTAAATAATATCTTAGTTCTACCTGTGGATTTTCTGGGACTTATAAATGTACCCAGGATCTAAGCAAGCCTGCTTGTTGAAGACTATAACATCTTTTCAGATATATATATACTTTTTCATTCTTTACTCATGTGACATTTTAAAACTTTACATTCAGTAGGATGCTGGACAAGAAATGGTGTTTTTAACATTTGGCATGCAATAGCTCCCAAAAGTCAGGGAAATAATATTAAGACTATGGAGAGAATTCCTAGCACTATGACTTTGAAATTAGAAGTAATCTGTATTTTCTCATCTGAATTAGAACTAATCTGAATTATTTATGATCCGAACACTGACATGTAAAGCCTTGTTAAACATGTTCTTTTCTGAATGTTGGCATAGAGTAAAAAACGAGTGTCTCAGAGAATGAAACCAATAGGTGTTTGGTTTTATTTATTTTATTTATTTATTTATTTATTTGGTTTTATTTATTTGTTAAATATATTTTTTAAGTGGAGCTTGAAACTAATCAATACAGTACATGGCTAGACAAACTTATTTTCTGAATACGTTCTCTATATTTTATTCTAGAAATGAACTGTGTATTTACTGAAGTCCACATGTTCTTTAAGTAAGTGAAAAATGGCTTATGTCCCAAAAAGTGACATGAGAACTGCAGAGAGAAAATAATGCTGAGGAGATACAATATACTACTTCTATACAGCATTAGAAATATTTCTCCTGTTACAGTACCACAGATAGATTCTTTATTCTCTTTTTAAAATGTAGCAGGACACCCTTTGTTATTTTAAATTTCTTAGGTAAATACCCCCCCCCCCTTTTTTTTTTTTTTTTAAGAAAAAGGTAAAAAAAGAAGGTTATTTTTCATAAAAAAATTATCAATGATGATTTAATCATCATTGACGCTATCTTCCTTTAGTAACAAATGGAAGTTCTTGCTGTTATTATAACTGCACAGTTAAGATTGTATTCTGAAAACAATTCAGAATAAATATTACTACTACAATATGTATCCACACTTTCTGAGAACTCTCATACTCTTCCCCCTTTCTAAACTATTATGTTCTTGCTGAATGCACTGCTAAACTGTACCAAGGAACAGCCATTTTCTTCACTCCACCTTTACGTGCCAAAGTTATCCTTTAGGATGAAGATAAAATTTGTGTAATGCATTGGGAAAAGAAAAAAAAAAAAAAAAAAAAAAAAAACAAGACATGGGAACATCTTTTTCTCCAAAGTGTATAATAAAAGAGAGATGTGCTGACATGTAAAGATCTGAATCTCTTTTGTTCTTCCATTCTGCAGTGAATTTCAAGTGCATTTGGGAGTCTTTTTCTTCCCTGGAAATGAGGTCCCAAGACTTCTAGAAAAGCCAGTCTGCTTGAAGTACAGTTTCTAATCCCCAAAGAAAATTCAAGTGAAAGTGTAGGTCAATGCAGAGCACTGCATGTAGCCATTGCACAGTGGAGTATACTTATCTGTAAAGATAATGAAAACTGTTGTTCCTATACTAAGTATTCCTAGCATCACATCAGCTTGTGGTGATTTTCTGAGTACTACTGTTGCCGACAGAAGGAAGACCCAGACGCTCAATATGAGTGAACAGTGAACTTCAACTTTAATGGATAGCTCAGTCGTCTTTTATCTAGTTCGAACATAATCAACTCATACATATTGCAGAAACTAAGCTCAGGACTGGCTGACACTTCCCGGGCTTTTCAGTCTGGTCCTCCTTCTTTTGGCTACCTGTCCCACCTTAGGGACTTTCCCTATCGCCCAAGGGCATCGTGCCCTTGAGCCTGATTGGCTCTCAGCCAGCTGAATACGTGCCAAGGCTCATGTGAGTTGAGTACGGTGCTTCACCAGCCCATTGTCTCCAACTGCTCAACATTCACATGTCCTGCCTCACTTAACGATTCCTCCACATACTACAAAATGTTTCTTTTTCTGAAACTTGTCTGTCATACTTCTTCACATACTACCAATGCAAAGCTATAAAATTAAGATGCAATTATTTGGAGCAGAAATAAAAAAAAAAAAAAGATTATTTTATGGCAATAATCATTGAGCAATTTATATTTTAAAAGGACAAAACCCCTGCATTAACATGCAATGCTGGTGCACCATCCTACCAGAAGCCACAGAAATTTTAAAGATATTTTGACTATGTAAAAATTAACTCCTACAGAAATATGCTAAACTTCATGGAAATGGGGCTGTTATTAATGATCTTTATATTTTTGTAGTACCACCATTATCAGAGTAGTTTTCATTACAGCATATGTCTTATATACTATATAACTAGCATAAAACGGAATGCTATTCATGAAAAAATAATGTTTGGGGGATTGTTTGCTACACTTCCAACATTAATACAGTCTAAAACTCCTTTCAGCTCCTCTAATCAGTATCATTGAAGATTTTCCTTTGCCCATGCTAATCAGGAAATAAGCTTCAAAACAAACAAACAAAACCACTCCACAGTTGTTTTTGTGTGTGTGTTTTAATTCAGTTAAGTAACTGAGGATTAAAATTCTAAGCAGAATTTTACTGACAAAAACAGGAAAACAAACAAACAAAGAAATAAATACCAGTTTTGTAACATCACTCCTAAAAATTAAAAAGTTTCATTCTGATTTTCTGAAGTAACTTTTTTTTTTTTTTTTTTCCCACAAGTTAGCTGAGAGCTTTATTTGCTCCACTTTCAATGAGACCTTTTTTTATAGAGCCCAACTGTTTCATCAGGTTTGACAGCTGTTTGTTGCATTGCTTTGCTGTTTGTTTGTTTTTGTGCAATGCTGTTTAAGGAAAGAGAAAATGTTATTAAATGATATAAGTGTTCCTGTGCTTTCAGTTACTTTTTTTTTTTTTTCCCCCAACAAAAACAGAGCCTTGAAAAATGACCATTGAATACATTCAGGAAACATTCAGGAGAAGGAAGACTGGAATAAATGACACTGAAATAATAGCATTTCATATAAAAAGCATTGTGTAACCCTCCACTTTTTCTTTTTATATGTTCATAACTACTTAAAATAGGCTTGTAGAACATGTTAAGATTATTCAAGACTGGAAGAATGAGCATTGAAGAAGACCTGAAACGTGTAAAGAAACAGCCCTATGAATGATGACTACAGATGACTACTATAAAAGTTAAACTGTTCCTTTTTTAATGCTTTGTGACTTTTTTTTTTTTTCTATGAAGGATCTATTTTACAAGAAAAAAAAAATACTCAAAATGTTGTTATTTAAATTGTGAAAGAAATGTTAGCATTAAGAAAGGCAAATGGCATTCTGTTGCTTTATTTACATCAAGAGTTTCTCTGTGCCAGGGCTAAACATAGTCTGAATTGCTAAAAAAAAAAAAAAAAATAAAATAAAATAAATCCATTTAAGACACCAGAAGAAGGAAAAAAAAAGTGATATAAATTAATTCACATTTTCCTTTATTACTTATTATTAAGACAGAAGAATAAAGACACTTTGCAAGTGTGTTTGCAAAATACATTCATTTCCATGTTGAAAAATGTATTTCATTACTTCAGTAGAGCTGCATGCAGAAGTAAATGTCAATGGAAGTTATTTAGGTTTCACATTTCATTCTTTCAAACTTTCAGGCTCAGCACACCTTACTAAGTGAAACAAGAGTGCATGGAACTGTAGATATTGTTTCTAATATGCAGGACCTTAAAATTGCACCTTAAAAAAGACATTAAAATCTAGTATTTGGGATGCATTTGCATGAATACATTTTTTTGCTCATTTAGTGTTAATTGTCTTAACACCGAAGAAACATTAAGAAATATTGGTAAAATACTCCAACAAGAAAAAGACAGACAAACAAACAAACAAAAACTTTTAATTTTGATTGTCTTGGCATTTGAACATGAATCACAAAGTTTATGTGATCTCAAATCATTAATACTGTCATCATATAGAGTAATAAAAAAAATACAGCAAATCAGACTGAAGTTCAGTTAATCACTGTTCATGTTCATATTCTTGTGCCTTATGCAATGTTTAATTGAAGTATTTCCCTCTTCAGTAGAAAGAAAAAAATCATCTATATGTGTTGACTATCTGTATAGTCAACTATGTTCTTACAACACAGATTTTGTCATAAAGAAAAGCCTTGCAGTCAAATAAGTATTAATGTTTTATTCCTAAACAGCAGCTTGTTAACTATCATTAAGCTCAAGCAACTTCTGTTTTTATTTCTTATTTTCTAAACAAACTTGAGTAGAAACACTGTTGGTTTAGCAACTTAAAAGCAATATTAGTCCTGGGCTTGGGATAATACTGAAAATTCTAAAAGTAATATCAATATTCTGCTTTTAAAAACTAATTCATATAAAAATGAAAGACTTCCATTTATATTTGGTATAAGCCCTTTTCTGGAAAGAATAAACAAATAAAGTTCAGCATCCTTACTAATAGAAGAGAAAAAAAAATCGTTAACAGTTTTACAATGCAACTGAAAAGCCATTTTGGTAATGAACTGATAATTCTTCAGCAATATTAATTTCAGTGGATGAAAAATGAGGGGATATTTTCCATTAGAAACCTAAAAGTAAAGCAGAAAGAATTACATCTGTAGAATAAATGATAATTAAATATCTTTGATTTCCGCCTGTGAAGAAAAATCCACCTTTTATTAGCACCACTTTTCTTCAATAAAAGTCCGTACTTTTCTTACTCTTCCATGCCTAATTTATACAATGTGATATTTATTTATTTATTTAAAATAAAGTCTGTTGAGGATAAAATAAGAGTATTAATAAAGGATGGGTCAACAGAACATTCCCTGATTTTGTATTTTCTTACATTGCCTTCAAGGTGTTCTGCAGTGTTCCAGTTCCCAGTATCTAATCTAGTATTATAGTCTAGTCTAAAACCATTTAACACAGTGTTATTATTATTTTTTTCCCCTATGGTTTCAAAAACAAAGATATAATATTTGATAGTTCTGTTTCTATTTTGATTAGAGGTTGGAGAAAAGAAGGTAACCAAGTATGCATTTAAACAAATTGTTTCAATGAGATGTGAATGTTACCCAGGTTGAGAAGAGAGATCTGTAGCAGAAATATGTTGGAATGGAACCACTAGAGAAACATTGAACTAAAAATATAATATCTGCTGATGTTGTCTCTTGCCATTGGAGTTGTTCAAATCTAATCAATTTGAGTATATTTATTTGTTACAAATATTTCCAGTATTCTAGAGACTAAAGAATGTGCTGTGAGACATTCTAGAAAAAATGCATCTTTCTTTACATATTAATTTATAAGTTCTGGTAACATGCAACAGATGATAGAAAAAAAAATAATAATTTTCATAAAGTTAATAATAGTTATATTTTAAATTTATAATTTTAAAATCTTTTATATGTCAACTGAATGTCATTGTAGAAGCAGAAAAATAATTTATTTGACAGAAAAAAATGCTTTATAGTAGTACATATCTGTGAATTGTTACATAGGTAGCATCAATAAATTGGTAAATATATATACACCAGAATATATTAATTTATTTTTAATCATGAAAGATCTGCAATCCAATTGTTGTTTTGGCTTCATTTTTTTGTTGTTGTTTTGGTTTTGTTTTGTTTGTTTTGTTTTCCCGATAACATAATATTAACCTAGTAGCATGGAGAATAGCAGAAATAGGTATGAGGGTGATGATGAACAGGTTGTCCAGAGAAGCTATGAACTCCCTGGAAGTGTTCAAAGCCAGGCTGGATGGGGCTTTGAGCAACCTGATCTAGCAGGAAGTGTCCCTGCCTATGGCAGAGGGAGTGGAATTAGATGATCATTAATGTCCCTTCTAACCCAAGCAATTCTATGATTCTATGGTAGAGAAATATCAGAAGACTAGAGCAGAATAGCTTTAAACTAAAAAGTGATAACTTTTCTGAGACAATAACTCCAGCTGTGTGAGCTAAATGGTATTGACATGAGAATAACAGCATAAAAATAGCAAAAGCTACTGTATTTCTTTGCAAATGACAGAAATAAGTGAGGTGGTGGAGGGAGTTCATTTAGTTTCTTAGTATACTTTTTATGAGATGAAATCAACAATACCCCTCATCAAGTTAGTAGCCATTTCTCCACAGACCAATAGAAATTTTTTTGCCAACCACTGCCAGTGAACTGATTACATCTCAAGAACTTCTACTTATGCTTATATCAAGAAGAAAAGAAAATGGGAAGAAAGCCATTTTGGAAGCATAAGAAGAATGAGAGTATTTTACTACGAGTATTTTACATAATTTCTGATTTCTTTCTGATGTGGTAATTTCCTGGAGCAAGATCTGTCCATTTTAATATGATGCCCTCTATTAAAGATCTTGTTTTATCAAAATGCAATTTGCAGTGGAGCTGAAAGCAAAAGAAGAAATAGATTAAATGCTATGAATAGAAATTTTACTTGCTTTAAATAGAAACAGTGGCAATATAGAATTCTACTCATGATAGTTTTCCAATTTAGATCCATTAATAAAGTAGCAAATGACATCCTCCCCCCGCAGGAAAAACAAACAAACAAACAAACAAACAAACAAACGTGGAAATTCTGTTTTTCCTAACAGTAAGACAAGCTCTTGTGTTATTCACTGACTTTCCCTCTATTTGAGATGAGTTATTCATTATGTGCTCATGAGATATGTAAATCAAAGGAAAATGGATGTCCAACTAAAGAGA